ATGTATGAATGTATGTGATTGAATAACTTATTCAAAGGTGGAAAACTAGTGAAAACTAGTGTAAACTGCGTCGGTGTTTTCAGTAAAACAGTTGATAGATAGATAATTTGTAAYACCGTATGGTTTACTCCGATGAAGGACTAACGTCCGAAACGTCAGTTTCATTTTTACATACCATACGGTGTTACAAATTATCTATCTATCAACTGTTTATGTGATTGAATGGTTGGTTTAATGGACGGATGAATGAGTGTTGTATAGGTAGATAGACAGGGTTTGATAGATATATGGCTGTATGATTTATGCCCTTCATTACCTTCTAATTCTTCCCAGACGAGCTGTTCTTGATTAAATGCTTTCACGATCGTTTCATACCCATACTCTCGTCCTGGCCCAGAATGCAGCAGTGTCGCAACAATAGGTTGTTGAAGGCGAAGACTTTGTGGCCTCAGTTCCACAATATGACTGACAACAGTTTCCATTTCCCCAGCAGGGGAGGACAAAAATTGTTTAGACCTTGCTTTGCACGTTATATTTGTCTGTTGACTTACAGTATTGGGTGGTAYATGAAGGAAAAGTCCAAGGTTCAAAAATTCACAAAAAACTCCATTCTCATCGCTGTTGGAAGAAAAGAAAAATTATTCTAAACAAGAAAACAGATTTTATAATTGGTACATAAAGTTAAGAAATTCGGGGGGGGGAGGGGGGAGGGGCTTGGCCACACGTGATATGTTCCAAATTAGCCTTGAATTGTGGATAAGATGTAGCATCAAATATGTTATTATAACGTCGATATTGTTATTTTTAACTTGTTTTATAGTTGTTATTTCGAATTCTTACCGGTTTGTTTGTGCTGTGTTTAAAATTGAAGGAATTATTCCTGTCGTTTATTGTTGATGGTTTATATGCCTGTCTGTTATTTTATCTCTGGTTATTTATTTATTTTATTTTTATTCTTTTATGGCCATGTTTTAGTTTTCTTTTCTTATTTCTTTGTGATTCTTGTTTGTTCTTTGTTATTGTTGTTTTCGATGCTTTTGTTTCATAAAATGAATGGTCAATGATGACGGTCCTAGGATGATTTCAAGGTTATGGCTGTCACCTATAGCGTCCTTTTTCGATATTACATTACTCTATATACACCTATTTCAGAAATCGTTGTCGCACCAAAAGCCTCAAGCAACAAGYCAAGACCGCAGAGAACGCCGGTACTTTTAGCTGTAATTAGTTTATTCATGGTGYATTTTCATTTATTGACTTCACAAATTGCTCCAAGCAAGKCTGCTTSAGATGATAATTAGTGGAGAGCTATARCCACTTGCATGAACCATGAATAAATGAATTATAATTAAAAGTACCKAYGTTCTCTGGAGCCTTGGCTTGTTACTTGAGGCTCTTGGTGCGACAACGATCTTCGAAATAGGYGTATATTCTATCATTCTTAAAACTCCAAAGAGGGTGGACCCGCCCTTTCTGGTTTTGTCAGAATGTTTACCTCCGTAACAACCTTAGGTCTATTGATAGCCAGTACAAATAGAATAGATATGAGTGTGAAAGACTACAGAACCAGGCATATCCATTGTACCCTTGGCACTGATGAGCCATCACAGACCGTGAATTTCTCATCAATGAAAATACTCGGACACAGATATATGAGTTCTATTTGTCTCTAATATTTACATTGTAATAACTGCTTCTTTGGGTCCAGTCAACGAGGAAGATCTTTCAAGTGCTACCGCTGAAAAAGAGAGATTGCAAAATATATCATGATTCTTGAACTTGTGACATTGATTCAAATTTGTATTTAATCAAAAGTAATTGCAATCGTTCATGTTCCTATTCTAGAGATAGAACCG